AGAGAACCCCAAGGACTCCACAGTTCAACCCTGAGCTACACATATTCGCCTCTATTGGAATAAATCAGTAAATACATTATAAACACCGGAACTCTCAGTATGTCCAGATTTTCCTTAGGATCTCAAGGCAGAATGTACAACCCAGTGCTGGTTATCAAATTTAAAGCCGTACAAGATGCTACATATCACCTTTAAAGCCCTACATGACATAAGACCAGGTTATCTGTGGGACCACTTCTCTGTGAAGGTATCTGTCCATCCTACTAGAGCAGATAGGATGGGCACACTCCAGGTGCCTTCCCTTAAACATCTTGTGGGTCCTCAGTAGTGTGCCTTTTCCATTGTAGCCCCTGCCCCATGGAACACCCTCCCTCCTGAGATCCAACAGCCCCCCACCCCTTAACCTTCAAGAAAGCACGTAAGACCTGGCTCTTCTCCCACGCATTGGGATAGGGTGAGTTAGAGTGAGAGAGAATGCATGGGTTGCATTGGGGGAGTATGGCTGCAGTGCCAGGTTTTTCTGTTTTCTGGTTATTGGTTTTATTGTTTTTGGCTTTTATTATGTATATGTTTTATTTTTTTTATTCTTGGTTGTAAGCCACCCAGAGTTTTGTTTAAGATGGGCGGCTACACAAATATTTTAAATAAATAGATACACATTCCCTGGGCTCTATACAGCCTCCAAGTGTCCCAAGTGTGTTCTCTGGAACCTTGAGAAAATTTGATTACCACCAAATTTTAATTTTGAATATATAACCAGAGGATAATAATCTTAACAATATGAGATTTTAATTAAACTGCCTTGGCCCCACTCATTTTGGACATCACTTGAGGGCCTGGCAATTTGGGAAGGGTTTGCTGGTCCAGATGAAAGCCAATCATTCTGAAAATGACAGTCCAAGCATTTGATAAAGTCTATATTCTCAGTAAAAATTGCCCTAATCCTGGAACATGATCTGAATCAGAGAGCAGAATTCCAATTCAGAATAAAATGGGGGCCCAGCTCAACCCACTAACTAAAAGAGAAGAAGCAAATTGCATCAGCTGAATAAAAGATAGAACATGGTTGGTAAATTCCCCCCACTCCATCCTAGTTAAAAAACAGGCAGATTATGAGATTAGAGATCTCGTAAGAAAAAAAAATACATACCTGGCAATCAGTCATTTGGTAAAGATCTTTGTAGACCATGTAGACTTGGAAAGAATTAATACCTATTTACACAAAAATGAATTAATTCACACAATAAAAGGAGGTTAAGAACTACCCGATATCATAAGTACAGATTTCAACCAATCATACATAGAGAGATTTTTTTATTTTAGGGCTAATAAACTAACAATTCACTTTCCACACACCAGGGATAGGCTATTTTTTTTTAGGCAGCATATCTCCAAATGCTGGCGTGTGTAGTGAGCACACTCACAAAATGGCTCGCTAGAGAGATTTACCTAGTAAGCATAGCCAATCACAAAGCCAACACTCCCACCTCATCCACTCACAAAAAGGCAACCAATCCTGAGGAGGCTGGGCCTGTTTTACACCCCTCCCCAGCTATGGGAACTCCCTGGTAACTTTGGGCTAATTGCTCTTGATCAGCGGAAGAAACAGGAAGGTCTGTTAGGAAAGGCACAGGATGAATGACTGGATGCGTAATGAACAAGTCTTTATTACAGCCATCAACCAGAAAAAGAAAAAGGGAAAAAACATTTTAACACCATCTAGTGTTAACACAATGAAGCACAATGAACACAATGAAACACAAAAAACACAACTGTCCATCTCTATACATTTTCAAACAATGTGAGCAGATCGGTGTGCTGCGTTACAACACTTACAATATTTAAAGATGCATCATTTGATTCTGACAATAATTTATATAAGAAGTATCTCTGGCTCTGGATCATTCTGCTTACTCATAAACACTGAAATAAATCCTTTGATTGAGCAGTTGTGTTTTACCCCCATGTTCAGACTGTCCCACTCCTCCCAACATCTCTCCCTGGAGATCCTGTAAGGGGAACGCTGCGTGGCCTCCAAGACCCGGCAGCAGAATCTGCACCTCCCCTGGCCCAGGCAGTGCATCAACAGTACCACAGTTATGGAGTTGTGCCTGAAGACAAGCTGAGATTGAGTTCCCGGAGACGTAGCTCAATCCTTCCCCAGGATTTGGATCCTGAGAAGAGAACTGCAGGCTAGAAGAGCTAATTCCACTGAATCACACTGGAAACAGGCAAAACAACCGAAGGCTTGGTTCATATTCATTTATGATTTTTGAACAGCCTTGCAGCACCCCAAAATCATTAGATGTTCATAGCCAAGGTCAAGTAGAGAGACCTCCAGAGCAGACATTTTGCTAAAAGCCACTGCGACAATACATAAGATGCTTAACAGTATGCCCAAAGGGAAGAGAATCATCAATGAGATAAATAGACTTGTCCAAGAACAAGGTGAAGGTGTTATTGTGTGTGTGTGTGTGTGTGTGTGTGTGCGCGCGTGCGTGCATGTGCGCTAATCAGCCAGTTACTGATTAGCAACGGTTGCTTGTTCAAAATAAGCCATATAGGAAGGAAGGAATACAGATCACACGATGCAACTAACTCCATAAAAGTGTTGCTGGCCCACTTGCAAATGTTTGTCTTCTGACACCAACTCCCCTGTGATCACAGAAATAAAGCAACTTCAAAGCATTCTTCAGTGGTTGGTTTTCCTGGTTATTTGGGATTCAGGAAACTCCCCAACAGCCTCCTCCCCTCGCTTTGTCCCAAAGCTCTTATTACAAACCTTGCTCTTGCACCAGACTTTCGAGTTCTTCCCGGATTCCATCATACCAGTCGGTGATATCCACATGGAGAGAGTAATCGCAACAAGATTTGCTCTCTGCTGCCTCTTTCCACTTTGCAAATGAAGTTAATAAACTGGAGCCAGGTTCTGGAAGGACATGGTCAACTGCAAGGGGAAGCACCCGTTTGAATAGCTAATATTGATTTCTGTACATTTTGAAATACATAATCTAGGTGAGCAATTGGTTTCCAGAGGCTTGAAAGATTACTCCTAAATATTTGAAAATCTTGATCTACTCATTGGTATGACCACCTAGCCACCAGATTCACTGTTCTGGAAGTTTAGAGGACATGAGGACCTTGGTCTTAGCAAAATTTATTATTATTTTCTCCTCACTCAACAGGGGTCAAAGGCACTTAATGGCTGTCTGAAGGGCCTCCCGCTCTAGGAAAGAGCAAACTACTGCACCAGATGAACCTGTGCAAAGCCCTCCTGCCACAGCTGCTCTACAAAGAGAAGCCAGTGCTGGGACCCACCAGTCCAAATTGCAGCCTTTAACTCTGCAAGTGAAACAGGTCTTTTCCTGGTTTAGACTGCGTAACTATGTCTTTACGGAGGTGCTATCCAGCTCCAAATCCACTCAGGGGCTGTCTGCACACATGAAGTGGAAAAGTGACCTACCCAGAGGTCTGTGGGAAGAGGGACAATAGATAGTATTTGAAACAGACAAACTACCACCTCCGAAACATGGCTGGGTGCTTTGTATAGGTGCCATTATCGTGCTCTGCCATGATATTCTGATAGCTTTCCCCTTTGTGTGTATGTGTGTGAACAGCTGCTTGTATAGTTCTTTCAGTTCAATAACTCAAAGCTTGAGCAAGAAACTGGGTTCTCCTTATACAGCTTAAAATATTGGTTCAAAGACCTCCTGGAACTCACGGTCAAATCAAGCATGATGCATACTTGAAGATCTTCTAACAATGGAGGGTTGTGGGCAGTTAAGAAAGAGTTTAATTAAATTGTCTGAGTAGCCCGTACAGTGTCATTTGATGCCCCACCCACTCTTGCTGGTGGAATAACTTAGCTGGCTCTGATGTAATCCACCTGGTGATCGTATTGCTTCCAGATAAAGTTTGTTTAAGCTCATGTAGTCTCTTCAGTAAATCCCGCTGCTTGCAGCTTGTGAGGCTCCAAGAATGCCAATTATGTCTACCTCCAGAGGCTCAGCAGCCCTCCCATTTTATCTGAGGAGGCTACTCCCAAGGGCACTCCTGCTTCAGCATCATCATACCTACAGCGGTGCTTAAAAGTCTGTGAACCCTTTGGAGTTTTCAATATTTCTGCATAAATAGGACCTAAAACGTGATCTGTTCTCCATACAAGTCCTAAAACTAGATAAAGAGAACCCAGTTAAACAAATTAAAGCTAAAAACATTATATTGCTTCATTTATTTATTGAGGAAAATGATCCAAAGCTACATATTTGGATACATATTTCCATATTTTCATCACATTAAAAACAACGTGCAATAGTTGAATGAACCCTAATAAAGATACACTATTTGTTCATAATCTTATTTTATGACAGTTGAGAAAAATGCTTCATGTCTTGTGGGCAGGCAATCATGCCTAGGATTCATGTTCAAATGCCTCCTTAGGACCACTTCATGGACTGACTGGGTTTACACATCACTTTAAGCCATGATTTACATAACCATGGTTTACTGAATAAGGCAGAATTGGTTGGGGTCATACAGCTAAAGCCAAGCAAACCACATTATGTCTTAACATGTTATGTGAACCAGTTCACTGCAGGGAGGGGGTTTCAATACACTCTATTGTTAGGTATACACACACACCTAAAATGTAGAGAACAAATGAGGCAAATGAGTGATTACATGGATGAATATCAGATAAAGACAGATGGACCTGCTCTTCCTGAATGAACACTTCAAGACGGAAACACATTATTTGATGTTTGTTTATTTATCTATCATATTTATACAGCTGCCCATCTCACACAAAGTGACTCTGGGCGGCGTACAACAATTAAAAAGAATAGGTAACCTGGCCCCATGCCACGAAGGGCTCTAAAGGTCAAAACTAGCACCTTGAATTGGACCTGGAAGCAAACTGGCAACCAGTGCAGCTTGCGGAGCAGAGGTGTAACACGTACCGCTCTAGGGGCACACACAACTGCCTACGCTGCTGCATTCTGCACCAGCTGAAGCTTCCGGATACTCTTCAAAGGCAGCCCCATGTAGAGTACATTACGGAAATCCAAATGGGAGGTGACTAGGGCACAAGTGATAGTGATTAGGTCCCTCTGATCTAGGAATGGGTGCAACTGGCACACAATACGAAGCTGTGCAAAGGCCCTCCTAGCCACGACTGCCACCTGCTCTTCAGGCAGGAGTCATGAGTCCAGGAGGACCCCCAGATTGCTCACAGGGTCTGTCTGGGGCAGTGCAACATCATTCAGTACCAAAGATGGCATAGCCCTAG